AAAGAATATCACTTCTAAATCAAACACCTGAAGTTACCCATCCCCTCGTGGGCAAAAGTCTACCCAAAAGGGATTGGCCCAGAGCAAGGCCTGAAAGCTGCCACAAGTCTAAAGCACCTTCTGGCAGGGACCCATAGAAAAGGGTCACACAAGGCCAGACAAGTCTGGGAGGAAAAGAGCAACATCAAAATCTTCAAAATCAAGATAATCACTGCCATAGTGAACCTCCCCTTGGGTCTTTCACCAGCACAGGGCCAAGGAACAAGCGCAGTTTCTTCACATGTCTCTCTGCTCCGTGTGACTCCCTCAGTTCTCCTTCTGACTCTTCATCCTGTTTCCTTCTTCAGATTCCTTCTCTTCTCTGCTCAGCTCTACCTTCCTGGGTGGGGCAGGGAACCTGGAACTTCCCCTTTTCCTGGGGACCCCTCACCCCTCCTGTTAGAGGACTACAGACTGGTCCAGTCCAGCAGAAAGCAGCATGGACATTTCTCAAGATTAAAAATGGATCTGCCATACTACGCAGCAAGTCCACTCCTAGGTAGCTACCTGAGGAACTCAAATACACTAATTCAAAGAGAAATTTATACTGGTTTATTGCAGCAATATTTATGATAGCCAAAGTATAGAAACAAACCAAGTGCCCTAAAACAGATGACTGGGCTAAACACAGATGGGTGTAAACACAGTGATTAAAAAGAAAAACTTGTCCTGTTTGCAGCAACATGGCCTCCCCACACCCTCAGGAAGCGGCAACAGCCTTCTGGAATTCTAGACCCACAGGGTCTCCACACTAGTTGGGTGGGGACCGTCCACGTGGTAGGGTCAGTGCTGCTGAATCTGGCCATGGGACACTCTCCCTCCTTCATCTTGCAGTCCCACTTGCGCCCACTCACTGATCACTGCTGATAATGGAGGGGGTGTGGCCTTGGTTGCTGTGATCTGCTGCAGGTTGCCTGCCTGCACCATCCTGAATCCCACAGGGCCTGCAGCTGCTGGGTCAGCTCTCTGTTGCTCCCACCCTCACCCCCTGCTGGGTAAATTAAAGACAAATCTGTAATGATAGTGTCATGAGTGTGGAATTTGAGGATTTTTTCCAGTTCACATAGTTTTGGTTTTTTAATGACCAGGTACTGCTTTTCTGGCAGAAAAAAACAATTTGTAGATCACAAAATAAAATATGTCACTGATAAATCCGTCAGCCTTCTGTTGCTAAGAATTTTTTCTGGTCTTTTTCTCTCTACAACTGGAAAGTGGAGACTGACTGCAGCACCTTCAGCTTGGCCCATGGTGGTCCTTGATGTAGTTTTGGGAGTTGCTGGGTTTGGAGAGTGGGGCGCTTGGGCTCACTCTGGGAAAGGTTTCACCAGAGCTCCCCTATCAGTGCCACGCGACGAGTTCCCAGGCAAGTTTCTCCACAAGACAAGAGACTCAGTTATATTTAAAAAGCAGGTTTATCAGGAAAGGGACAGAAAAGAAGACACCTGCAAGGGCACAAGTGGGCAGAAAAGGCTGCCCGAAAGGTACAGGTTTGCTGAGACAGGTCTGAGAAGTCACAGGTGGGCGGCCCTAAGGAGGGCAGCGGCCTGTGCTGAAGGAGGTCAGTGCTGAGAAGCCCTGGCACGAGCCTGCTGCCTGCAGCTGGCAGAGTTGGTGAAAAGGAGCGCCTGCTAGGCACAGGTGGGCAGGACCGCTGCTGGCTCCGCCCTGACATGTCTTCTCTTTGGGAGGGCTCACTTCTCTGTGAGGGAGGGGCCAGTTCTTTGACTTTGAATAAACTAGAATTTGAAAGGGGTCAGAGATTCTACAGGGAGCTCAATCTCTGTAGCTTTTCCTGGGCTCTGTGCTCCTGACACAGCCTACAGCAGTCTGAGACCAGCTCGGGCACCGGCTATGTTAATCTCTCCTACCCCCACCTCCAGCTCTAGGCTTTGTGTGAGCCAGGCTTCTGGTCGTGGCACCTCCTTCCATGTTTCTATTCTTACCCTTCATCAGGACTGGCTATCCGTCAACTGTTAACAGGGATTTAACCGAATTTTCACACATTAAGAACAATTATATTAACAATGCTCTCTGGAAGTCTGTGCCAGAATTTTATAAGATCTCTTGCATATGAAGATGATTTAATCACAAGATTGGGAGTAATTATTACCTTGCATACATTTTGGATCAAACTGCAGCTATTACAGCAATATATTTACTTATCACTGAACATTCGAGACCCTAGTACATCCAAGGGAGCACATAAAGAATACACAAAAAGGAAGTTTAGGTTTATGGATCTAATTTCCTGTGTGTGGCCAAAGTAAATGCGTTGGCAAGGAACACAAGAAAACGAGTGGATATAATCAGTATTCCAGGCAAAATACTTTGGACTTTAAAGATACAATTGCTGATGGTAACTTCCTGTTTCCCAAGTAAATTGTAGGTTACCAGATAGCCGCAATATCCGACCCAATCCCCAATGTCTGATGTTTTTGATGTCGAAAAGCAGCTCCCGATCACAATGAACACTGATCACCTGCAGTGATACACATTTTGGGACAAGTTCTTTATGACATCAAAAACATAAGTAACAAAATTAAGTTGGACTTCATCAAAATCAAAAACTTTTGTGCCCCAAAGCGCCCTAAGAAAGTGTCTTGGAATGGGAAAAAGTATTTGCAAATCAAGTATCTAAGGAATACACAAATTGTGGCATAGCCATATCAAGCAATCTACACATAGTAACAAGGAATTAGTGATCAGTGTGGAAGAGCTACCTCTTAAATGTGTATTGTGAAATAAAAGCCAGTCTGAAAATTCACATACTGTGATCCTAATTACATGAAATTCTGGCAAGGCAAACTGCTGGCATAGAGCTCCTAAGACCGGGGCCGCATCTGGGTGGAAGGTGTCCTTCCCTTTCAGCACCTGAGCTTATGGCCTTTTGGATGGAGGTGGCTCATTACCAGAGGAACCACCTGCACGTGCTTAGAACGTTGTAACTGCCATGCTCCCCCTGCCTCCACCCACTGGGGCCAGGCATCTTGTGTAAGTGATGAGAGCCTCGGCAAGAACCCTTACTTTCCAGGTCAGTAAACACATTGAGGCCGGGAGGGTGGTGTGGCCACTGGGCATGGTGCCCTGCTCCCATACCTTGCTCTGAACATCTCTTCAATTTGGATCTAAGTCGCATCTGTTCTAAGCAACTGGTAATCTAGTAAGCAGTGTTTTCCCAAATTCTTTGAGCCATTCCACTGAACTAGCAAATGGGGGATGGGGAAAGGGATTGCTGTCACAGGTAACCCCGATTGACAGCCCGGGACTCTTGGTTAGTGTCTGAAGGAACCTTATGCAGGGAGACCCTTAACCTGTGTTGGGGGCCTGCACCAATTCCACAGAGAATCAGAAGTATGAGTACAACAGATTTTACTGTTAAATACTAAACATCCATTTATACAAATTACACTGTTAGAAACAAGTTTTACTCTAATATGCAGCAATTCGGTTAATTACCTGACCAGTATTCAAAATTCTCTGGGACACAAAAGTCAAGTCTTACATTTAGGTGTGACTAGATGTAAGAGCTAAAACCTGAATAAAATATGGACAATAAATTGGAAATGACATTCCTCCAAAGATAAACAAAGGGCCAGTGAATACTTGAGATTGTTTAATCAGTCATTAGGAAAACACAAATCAAAACCACTTCATAGCCATTAGGATGGTTGTGATCAAATGCTAACAAATATTGGCAGTTATGTGGAAAAATCAAAACCCACACATTGTAAAATGGTGTGGCCTTTTTTTAAGTTTGGTAGTAACCATGTGACTTGGCAATTCCATGCCTTTGTATATATCCCTAAGAATTGAAAATCTCTACACAAAAGCATTCATATTCAATGCAACATTGCTTCATAGTAAAAAAAAAAAAAACAAAACAAAACCCAAGCATTTACTCATGACTGACCAATGTAATGGAGTATTATCTGACAATAAAGTGCTGATAAATTCAGTAGGACATAACCTTAAAAGGGGACTAAATATAACAGAAGACCACAAATACCCAACATAGGTTAAAAACAGAAGATAGATATGATTGTATCAGGGGCTGGAGAATGGAATGGAATAAATGTTAGCGATTTGGGTAGGATTTTTCTGGGGTGATGAAAATATCGTGAAACTAGGTAAGTGATACAAAACTGAATATACTGAAATCTTAAAAAGATTTCAGGTTAATGCAATGGTTTATGAGTTAAATCTCAAAAGTCATTATAAAACATCTTTGTGCAGGTGGTACTGTATTTATTCTCTGGGTAGGAGCTCTACCAAGTAGAACAAGCAGTGTACAGTAACGAGACAGAGGTCTTATTCCTCTTCCATATGGTTTTGCTATATTTAAAAAAAATGGATGAAAGAATTAAAAGACTACACTGAACGCCTTTCGTGTTTTATAAACCTTTATTGGAAAGGCTACAAACTTTATATTGCCACTGCATTTCTTAGGCGTAAAGTGGTTGTGGGGAAGTCACCTTGGATACAAAACTACTATGCTGTTGAACCCTGCCCAGACTGGCTGCTGTTTTTTGTACAACGGAGGTAGAATGGGTAGGGCAATAATTTCAACCTCCCAGGGCTTGATTAATGCCAGGACACCATTTATTTTTTTCTTTCCCTGTTTCTAATAAACTTCGAAATAAATTACAAGAGTGTATTTATTTAGGCTCAGGGATGGCATAACACAGTTCTGACTTTTAGTTTGTTTCCCATTTTTCCTTTTACAAATGTGTAATGTACAACTCATGTCTCCTTTCCCTAAAATTAAAGTGTGTTCTGAAAATACCTGCTCTGGGAATGAAAAGGCAATAACCTGAAGATGTGGAGAGCAACAGAACATCTGTTCATAGTAGTTTCACCTGATTTTTCTCATACCAGCCTAAGAGACTTACACTTTTTCTGTAAAACATTAGTAATCAACACTTCCCCCAATCTTAAATATCAAACTTAATGGACACAGAGCATCTTTAACTTAACATTTAATGAAAACAGAGCATTTTAACAGGTTCTATGCAGACATGGTTCTAATATTGATTTGCTGTTGCCTTATTTTTAAAAAGGGTATGGGGTGGTGGTGGGGAGACAGAGAGGCTAGGTTAAACCAACCCCAATGCTGAGAAGCATAACTTATGAGTTACATAACTCAGATGTCCTTGACTACAAAAAAGCATCAATTAAAGTCAATAAAGCCTGTTTCTACCAACATGTCAAACTTTCTTTTGCCTTCAAAATTACAGAATGGGTGAGCCTGAGGTATAATCTTCAGGCCAATGGGCTTTTAAGGGCTTTTTAAAAGAACCAGAATTAATGATACATTCTCCAGTTCAAAATATGTTCTAAAAATGTGACACCAAGAATAATTACACCAACTGCTTTTTATTACTGAGTTTCATAAACCTTTCACAAGATGGTTAAAAAGAAAAAAAGAGAGCAAAAAGAAAAAGAAAAGAGTGGGAAAAAAGCCCAGAACTTTATAACCACAGCTACTGTGAGTCTTCCCACCGGTTCCCAGTCAGCTCCAAACCTACTATGTGCAAAGCCCATTCCCATGCATCTAAATGATAGATACAGGCTATGAAATTCTTTATTCTATTTGTAGCAGCTTATGCAGGTGCAGCCAAACACAAAGCTTCAGGACAAATTGTACACAAACTTTACAATGTGGGATTTGAATTTAAAATATGAAACATAAAATCTACACAAAACTGATAAAAATCAAGCACAGATATCAGGACTGAAACTTATAACCCATGTGTGAAAGGGAGTCTTGTTTCCTTTCAAGTGCTTTATTCTGCTACAGAACAGTCGAAATGAGGATGTAAAGCTTTGTGGTTAGTTTAAATTATACACTCTGTAGATACTATACCAATTTTAGAAGTTACACATAGACCAACATGTCCATCAGTTCATCTGAATTGACCGGATACTCCAGCTGGACTGCTGAAAACAAATCAGGCAAATGTGGAAGGAAAATCCACCTGTGCAATTTGTCTGCAGAGTTTACTGATGGGCACATTGCACTCCTGGTCCGTGATGGCTGCTGCTTTCTTCATCAGAGCTATCATTATACGCTTCCCGTCTCTGCCCACCTCCTGATCCCCGAGTGCTATCAAATTCCTGAAGCTCTACCTCCTCCGTTTCTCCAATTATGTTAGGAACTTCTGGTCTAGATGGTAGAAGATCTTCTAGTTCCTTCATTGAAACAAAAAGGTTAATGGTAAGGTATTTTCATCAAATGCCCTTTTAATAGAATCCAATGTACTCTGCATTTTTGATGCAAACTAATAACCTACAGGTTCTACTTTGTGCAATCAATCAATAAAATGAGTTGCCAACATTTAAACACTGGAAAAGATCACACCAGACATACCTTTCTGCATGTTAACAGCCAGCAGAAGCTAAGCTAGGGCCTGTACTCAGGTGGTGGGGGATCTGTTCTGTAAGGAATTCTAGACTTCCCATCATCACTTCAATAGTCTGTTTTACTATTATTCCCTGCTTGGCCCATAAAAGATAGTACCTGCAGTCCTTGCCTCAAAAATTGAAATTCTGATTTCATCGAAGCACCAAAAACAAATGTAAGGCAACACAGAAACAACTTTTATTAAACCATAAACCATCTATTGCTTAAATTCAGAGAACACTTACAGAAAGTTTGTCTGGGTTGATCCAGTTGTTTTCAGGAAACTGCACATCAAATTTTATGTAAAGATCACCTTTTTCAAAGGGATTACGATACTGTGGCATTCCTTCAGCTCGAACTACTCGAACACATCCTGTTATTTTAGAAAGAGGAAACAAAAACTTCACTCATAGAGGAGGGTGTTCAATATCATTCGCCTGAGTATCACTTACAAATTCCCTAAGAATGCAGAGAATCCTGCATTAGGAAAACATCAAGATTTACCTGGTTCAATGACTTTGCCAGGGGGGTATTTCACCACAATCTGACGTCCATCAAGATGTTTAAATGTGAACTGAAATCCACATAGGGCCTCAACAAGTCCTATCTTATATGTCATGTGCAAATCATTCCCATCTCTCTGGAACACCTACAAATAAAGCACACAGAAACCTTTTAAAACTATGGATCTATAACAAAGTGTTGTGCTCTCTGAACCAATTACAAAACTATAATTCTACTATTCACTACAAAAGCAAGGTGCCACCCTCCCTATTTCCCTAAATTTATATAGAAAAACTTAGTCATACTCAAGTTATGAGCTAGAAAATTCTACTAGCAAAGTACTGGAGCTAGAAAAGTAATGGCTCTCAAGGTACAACAGAGGCTCCAAAAGTAGAACCAGGTCTATGCTGCAATCACGGGCCATTTCCTGACCCTGACTCTGAGCAAAAAGATGCAGAAGGTCCAATGGGATTCTGTGTAACAGGCTCACCTTGGAGTGCTCCCCACACATGGTCCTAGACACAAACAGGAGAAAGGGAGGTCCTAGTTCAGCAAAAGAAACTCAGCATGAAGAAGATGAATTTCATGCTTTACACATGAACAAACCAATTTCACCCAACATTCAAAACTTGCTTACATGAATGTAAACCAAAGAGTAATGCTTAAGTTAGCTTATTTAATTACATCAGAAGCTTATGCACTAGGTAATGCAAAAAAATATTCAATAAGCAGACACATATGCCTGAGCTTTCAATGTAAAAATAAACCCACTTTTATACACGTTGGATTTAGTTTTCTTTGTTAAGAATTTACAAATATCTGTACTTTGAAATTTAAGACGAAAACAAAATTATCAACAGTAAAAAGTCACCTAGAATTTTTCAATAGAATGTTTTTTTCTTTCTAAAAAAGACTTATTTACTTATACATACAGAACTGGGGTACAGGCTAGAGGTACAGGAATTGAGAGGATTCACCAGACACACAGTGTGGACAACAGGCAGATGTATTAAAATACATTACTGCGGGGAACAGCAGGTGGGTCAGGAGAGGTCTGCTGTCTCATGTGGGTCACTCCCTGGCTGGGGACTGAATTCATGCTGCAGTGGCCACGATAGCTTCATAGTGCTGTACTTTAACCCACTGCACCACCAGAGAGAGCTCTCAATATAATTAATTTCTTTTCTAAAGAAAGTTGGCGGGGAGCCCTCCCTGGTGGTGCAGCAGGTTAAAGCACAGCACTGAGAAGCTAAAGCCACTTCAATGAGTTCAATCCCCGCCCCAGAGGTGACACACATGGCATGGCAGACCTCTCCTGACCTGCCTGCTGCTCCCCTCAGCAGTGTATTTCATTGGTCAGCTTGTTCTGCTCCCCACTCTGCCTCTGGTGAAGCCTCTCATCGCCCCGCACTTCTGGCCTATACCCCAGCTCTGTATGCATAAATAAATAAATCTTAACAACAACAAAAAAAAGTTGGCTGGTTCATTTAAAGAATAGAGGAAATCTTCCCCTAAGCCACTCCATCTTAACCTATAGTCCTAAGTCAGCCGCCTCAACTATCTGCTGGAACATCTGCTGTCAATAACTTTAAGATTATATACTTTAAGGTCTTCCTACAGCCCCTAGGAATTAAAGCAGCTTATTCTTTTTCTCTTTTGATTCTATAATGCTGTTCTAAACAGAGAACTGTTCTTTTTTTTTTTTTTTTAAATAAGTAAAGTCAAGTCCAGGGAGACCAAAGCTGATAAATGGGAATAAGAACTCCCTTGCCTCCAACTGCAATGATCTGTATTTCTAAAATAGAGATCTAAAATAGTCCTAATTTACATAAGCAACACTGAATTAGGGCAGGGCAAAAAAAAAAAAAAAGTTCACAGAAAACATGGTATTTACTTTCTATACATACATCAACAAAAACACCCATATGTTATCTTACAACAGTTTACTCAATACTCAAGTGGACAATAAACATCTGATTACATGGCTGGCTATAGTTTTGTATACTGAAGGCAAAACTGAACAAATAAGGAAGTAAATAAAATGCCAGTTAATAGAAAACCTTGTAAAAGAACTACGCACATTTCAACCAACAAGACCTTAAGGCAGATTTCTAAAAATTACTTTGATCTAGAAGGCCCCTGCCATTTACAAGCTTGGTAATATCCAAAGGTATAGCTCTGCTAAGTCAAGAAGTCTGACTAGATTACCCTAAAAAAGGCTAGTGAAGGAGAGCACAGCCTAGTGACGGAATGAGTCTAATTCCCTCAATAATATGGCTTTGCTATTCTCTACTGGATTCTTAGCTTTAAAAAGTACTTTATTTGTAGAAACCACCATCAAATAGGAGAAAATTTTAGCATGAATTAGAAAGGTAGCTGATTTGTGATGCAGACTTTCCGGTGGGCCAAGATGGATTTGGAACCTGTAGGGGAGCGGGTGTGTCCTCCCCCCCCACCCCCCCGAGCCCCCGCCAGCTGGTGGCATTGTGTTTTTCCCTTAGAAGCTGTCAAGTAGAGGCTCCTAGGCAGGAGCTGTCAGTGAGCATCTCATGCTAGTTGGTGGAAAGGTTTGTGGTGGTAGAAGAATGTGCTCCATGTTCTAATTTCCGGGCTAAAACTACCTGAGTGTGCTTTCACGGGGTATGTGGAGGAAAATCACATGCAACTCCTTTAACAGGAATGCGTTTAAAAGCTGCCTCTTAGCCACAATGGAACACTTATTCCCACAATTCCAAAGGGCTAAGTGGCCTTGGTTTTAACCTGCCTTGTTTATCAGGGAAAACTGAACAGAAAAAAGCTCTGGAAATAAGTTGACTTTATATAGCTACTTTCTATCCTTTTAAAATGGGGCTTAAGAGACGCTACTTAGAAAAAAAATGGAATGGGCTGACTTGTGATCCTGTTTTCTGGCATCATGTGGCAGCGCTCCTTTCTCCAATCTCCTAATCTAGTTCACTGAAAAGTTCTCCTGGATACCCAATATGCAAAACAAATCAACAAAGCGACACTGATGGCTATAGCTCTATCCACTCACCACCCATCAAGGGAGTTTGATAGTGAAAAATAAGCTGCCTTGAATCATCTGATTGAATGCCCAGATGGCATTAGGGTAAACACATATTATTTAAGGATTACCAAGATTACAGTGCTAGTCAACAGCTGACCTGGAACCAAAACTGGTTACTACAGTGCTTCTGACTGCATTTGCCTGGCTGGTTTAACGAGTCAGTTCTCAGAAACTTAGCTACATTACTTAAAAACATCATCTTTGTTAGTATCGCTCTAGGAAACTAAAAAAAAAAAAGAGATCTGAACTGGATCTTGTCTACAAGGTGCACTTCTTAACAAACAAAATGGAAATTACCTCATGTTCTTTCTCTTGTAGCAAAAGAACAATGTCTCCTGGTTCCACTCCCGGGGCCTGGTCTGCCTCCCCAGTGAAAGTAATTCTCTGTCCATGTTTCATGCCTTTGTCTACATGGACTTCCAGAATCTTGACTTCTTTAATCACCTTCTTTCCTTCACATTTTTTACAGCGATCTTTTTCATTAATTACCTCACCTGTAAAGAGAGATCATTCAAACTCCAGCAGGAGTACTACACTGCATTCTTAAGTAACACAAATCAGGACAATGCCTTAATTATTAAATACATTTTCTGAATTTCTTTTCATTGCTACTTAAAAGTTTTGTCTAAACTATCATCCTTAGTAACAAAATCATCACTTTACCCCCGGTTACCTAAGGACCCAGCTACCCAGACCCTTCCATTTCAGAGTATAATCTATTGTAAACAATACTTTTTTTGGTTCCTGATTCTACTTCCTAATGTTAAAACAAAGCCAGAGGATTAAAAGAAACATGATACTAGGGATACGCTACTGGAGTTTCTATAAATGCTTCATTTGTTCTGTTTTAGTTTCATGTAAATTTACAATGGGCAGAGACAATCCACAAAATTTTCAATAACCATCCTACTTATTTTCACATGACTTAGTTGGTAAAGGATTTTATTTCACAAGGTAAACCCTGCCTAGGTGTCCTATTATAGACCTTCTTTTTGAGTATTATCACCGAGATTTTCTAAAATCTGTCAGAGATAGCTGAATATTAGCTGGTACTAAGTACCCTCTCCAGTCCATGTATAGGCCAACAGCTTCTTTTCTATGTGTACTTTTGAAATATTTGGTGGGAGAGTAAAACTGAAATTATACATAGTATGTTTGAAAGAATACATTGATTTCTCATAGCTATTAGCACATTTTAATGCTCAGATGACATGTATAATTAATGACTTCAGGGACTGTCTCTGGAACATTGCTTCTTCAAAGCATAGTCTCTAAAACACCAGGGTCCTGGTACACAAGAAAAGGTTTCATTCGATTTTAGTTTCCTCAATGAGCACTGCCTGTTAGCAACCTTAATAAGGTAGAATGCCAGAAGAGAAAATGCTGCTTCTTCAAATTGCCAGACCAAATGGTGAAGGATGCTTTAGCACTGTTCAGTATAGTGGTCACCAGTCAACTAAGGGCTGCATGCTTTTAAGCTAATTAAAATTAAAAATTTGAGTTCCTGAATCACTTTCACCACATTTAGCACTCAATAACCCTAAGTGCCTAGAGACTACCATAGAAGTTTAAAGATGCAGAATATTTCAGATATTGCAAGAAAGTATGGGAAGCATGACAAACAAACTAAGGCCTCCCGGCAAAAGCGGGCGTGCCCTTGTTTTTTAAGCAGGATTTAATTGGAAGAGTCACGGCCATTCGTTTACACGTGGTGGTTATAAAAGAGCTAAATGAGTAGGTGAGTAGTTTTTCATAAACCATTTTGGCAACAAAACCTAAAATTCATCTATGATGGAACTTCAATTCCAATATCTAGCCTTGAATACATCAAAAAACTAAACAACTTGCAGTCTCCCTCAAATTTACGGTTTAACTGAGTTCCTATGCCTTTTGGCATTCTTTAACATCTTTAATAAGATGAAATACTGGCCACAAAAGAAAAACTGCAAGCCGCTCAATTTCTGCCACCAACTTCATTCCCACGTCCGTGCAGAGACACTGGCACGCATACCTTCTCCGTTGCAGTCAGAACACACAGACTGCATCTGCTGCACCATCCCTGGGGCCAGCTGTCTGATCATGATGCGCACACCCCGACCCCGGCAAGCACTGCACTTCTGAACAGCCCCAGACTTTCCACCTTGGCTAAAGCAAGCAAAAGCACAAGTTAGATTTTTGCCTACAAACTATTCCAAAAGCCCATAAAAACAAGAACTGTGCTTTTGTCTTTATCTTCACGTTACGACGACTAGAAGATATTTTCAGAGATATCAGAAAATACTGTGTTCTGAATAATTACTTTTAAATCATGAACAATTTTTACTTTGTATACCACTCACCAAAGGAACAGTTGAAATTTATCCCATGAAGTAGAACACCACTTACCCACTGCAGGCACTACAGAGTACATTCTTGCTAAGTTGTAGTTTGGTTGTCTTGCCATTATACAGATCTTCTAAAGATACTCTGGGGAGAAAATAATTAGGTTTAATGAAATTTTGTTAAATTCTCTTCTCTACAAGATCGTGTAGTTTAAATCTGGAAAAAAAATGTACAGGTACGTATAGTACATAGAGCACTCAACAGACAGCCTATTGGGTCAGGTTAGTAGTTTGGGGAGCTGCATTTTCTCATAAAGATGGTAACAAATTCAACCACCCAGGGCCTTCTTTTAGCTTCGGACAGCAGCCTTACATCTAATCCAACCCTCTGAACGAGGTAAACTTCTTATCCCTATTTCACAAGACAAAACTAAGATACAGACAAATTAAGCAGACCTCGTGCAAGATCACATACACAATCTGGACCCAGAGTCCATTCTCTTCTACAAGGCTCTGCTCCCTCTCAGGACAACTTAGACTATAGTTATATCCCAAAACAGACTGTGTATGTCTTTTAAAGAAAAAAAAGAAAGAAAGGCTTAATATGCTGAGAAGGAAAAAAGGTTTTTAAAGCAAGCTAACAAGTTGAGAGGTGTGAAGAGCCCACTGAAGAATTAAAGGATCATTCATTTCTAAAATAACATCAACTAAAAAATCTGATTAAGGGTCTCAGAAATACTAATGATTTGAGAGCAGTACCAGATTAATTTAATTTGGTTTTGCCCTTCTTATTGTATTTTTTTTCTTTTTTAAGATTTACTTGTTTTTGCATATAAAAAGTGTGGAGGATGCGAGGACTTACAAGACAGAGCGGGGAGCAGAATAGGCGGGGCTACTGAAATACACTGCTGAGGGGAGCAGTGGGCGAGACAGGAGAAGTCTGCTGTGCCATGTAGCTACCTCCCTGGCTGGGGATCTAAAGTGAGCTAAGAAGTTCAGAGGTGAACCTGTTCTAGCACAGTGGCTGGTGATAGATTGATAGCATTCAGACTTTAACATCTGTGCCACCAGGGAGACCCCTCACTGTATTTTAAAATCTCCTTTAGTAGTAAAGATTACTTTACAATAGAGAAGGAAATAACTGAAACCCTTATGGAGAAGACATTACCAACACTTCCAGGTAGTGACTTATCTACTGTTTAACTTGAGACAAAGCATTTGGTTCCATTTGCCTTTTATATACCTCATAAAAACCTAGCCAAGTCATTTTAATAGATAGGTCTTTCCCACCTTACATATTTATTTATAATTACCACGCAAAACCACTAGCAGACAAGAAAGACCCCAGTCAATAAATATGGTCAGGAAGGAAAATTTGCACTTAACTGGAGCAATCATTTGTAAGGCAATTCAGTTGCCATTAGTCTCAAAACAGTGATGCCTGCCTGGCCCCTCTCTGCCTAGAGACAAAGCTGTATTAAAGAGTATCACAGCAACACTATTTATTGTAGAAAACAGACAAAAAGAAATAAAGACACACACACAGATAACAGTTTATAGAAAAGATGAAAAATTACATATATACATAATAATAAAGTCATTCAAAACAAAACATTGTATTGACAAGAAAATCTGTAATAGAAAAAAAAAAATGAAAGAACTAATCCACACTAGATAACTAATCCTCTTGGAATGTTATCCAAATGGTAATATGAGTAAATTCTTTCAAAATACAAATAAATTTCAGAATGAAACTTGTTTCATTCATGCTTTCTTCCTGCAGTTGACCCAAATGTATAAACTATATAAAACTAATGGTATAAAAAACAACCACACAGATTTTGCAAAGTGAAACTGCTACTTTCATTTTATAGAGGGCTTCTTGCTTCTCAGATGAAGATCAAGGTCAGACACCATTCATATGTTGGCAGGTTAATGTCAGGCTTGAAGCCAGCAAGCTCCATGGAAACCAGTTTAGGAGATTTCACCACTGAGGATCAAGTAATGTGTGACTGTAACATGTAAACAAACTAGTCAGACAGCCACTCACTTTTTATGCTTTTAGATAAAAAGTAACCTGGAACATTTAAGTATTTCAAAGAATACACATTTTATAATTAGAACTTTAAAATCACAAAGTAACAAGGAGTCCCAAAAGCATGTAACAAAACTACCTAAAAAACACCAACCATAGTTTAAGATCTACTGCAACAGAGAAACACCTGGGTTATCAGACTGAATTTAGTCATAGGAGAACAGTAAGGCAGTTAAGTTCTCTTTCTAATGAAAGGACAGAATTTTGGGGGATACTTTTCCTCTTCAGCAAAAGTATTATTTAAGGAATAATACTTTTTTTTTTAAAAAAGATACTTACTTGAGTGGATGCATCATGTCTTCTCCTCTTCTTCTGCCATTTCGACTTCTACTCTGATTGCCCATAAAGCCAAACAATCCCCCACCAAAAATGTGAGAAAAAATATCATCCATGCCACCACCTCCACCACTGCCTTCCCGAAGACCTTGTTCTCCATATCTGTCATACAACTCTCGCTTCTCAGGATTTGATAGTACTTCATATGCAAAGCTTATTTCCTTAAACTAGAAAGAAAACACAGAAAGGAAAACAAGTGAATTTTCAAGTAAAAGGTTGGGAAATATGAAAGGATTTAGAATCCACTAAATTCTAATAAAAGTTGCATGTTATTTTTTTAAAAAAAGATTTACTTATTTATGCATACAAGAACTGGGGAGCAGGCCAGAGGTGTATGTGTGGGGGTGATGGTGGGGAGGATTCACCAGTTAGAGTAGGGAGCAGAACAGGCAGAGTGACTGAAATCCACTGCTGAGGGGAGCTTAAGGGAGCAGTGGGAGAGACAGGAGAGGTCCGTTGTGCCATGTGGACCAGCTTTCTGGCTGGGGACTGAACCCAGGGCTGTCTTTATCTTTAACCCCTGTGCTACTAGGGTGGCCCTGCACATTATCTTTGGTTTGATTCTGGCCTTTCCTACTGACCACTGCCTAGAACATTCAGTTTTCCCACCACAATGCCAATGCTCTCTTTAACAAAAATCTGACTCTACAGATTAGAATTTTCTTACAACATCCCTATTTTTCAAGAAGGGCCATTTACAGTTAAAGAAAACCTCAGGGGAGTAAGTCTCCAATAACTTACTTTGTCTCCAGCATTTGGATTCTTATCAGGGTGATATTCCTTGGCTAACTTTCGGTATGCCTTCAATAAAGAATAAAAAAAAGGTTATGTACAAAGACTGATTTAAAAGATTTGTGAACACAAAAATACTCTGTATTCACTGGGATGCCTGGGCACTGTTCATCTTCATACTGTCCACACGCTCATTTACTATAACAAAGTGGCCTGTAGTCATGCTTGAAAATAGGTCAAACTGAAGTCGGATACACAGTGACACTGTGCCACGAAGGAAAATCATTTCATAATCTCACTCTTGTCATTGATGTCTTTGGTGAGTTTCAAACAGACCAAGAATTCCCGATTGACTCGGGAGAATGACTGCTGAGCTTCACTACTGCAAATCACTGCCGAAAATGAACCAAGGTGGCTGCCCTTGATGGCTCCTGCCTTTCTGCCAATTATAACACCAGGGGACAGCCAGAGGTGTCACGGCGGTGCTTTCTCGCCTCGTGGAGGATGACCCGGCGTCTCGGCGACTGTGGCCCGGTAAGCCTCACACGCTCGGCGGGGCCTAGGCGCCGGGCCTTCCCCCAGGCAGTTATGTAACCCGACCGGCACTTCCGGCGAGGCAGCAGGAAGCCCCTTTCCGCCCGACAGTCCGAGGGGCGGTCTCATTCTCCCCGCTTCCCGGCCGGACGCGCTACCCGCGAGGACGCTGCGGGCTCACTCCGCGGCCTCACGGGTGGGGAGACGCCGGTCTGCTTCGGGCACTGCACGGCGCAGGTCGGCCTAACACTTACTTTCAGTCGGTGCGCGCTCAGGCGTTTGGCCGGGGCCACCGTTTATTCCTGCAGCGCGCACGGAACATCCGATTACCTGCCCCCGAACGAGACACCCAACACAGGCCGAACCCCCCGGGGTCAGGGGGAGGAGCGGAGCGGCAGCCGCGGCGGCCTCCACCCTGCGGCCCTCGGCGCCAGCGGCGCGACAGCCTCTGTCCCGGGCGGGATGCGCCGGGCGCCGCAGTCCAACCTGTTTTCCAGGGCGGCGACCCCGAGGGGGGGGCCGCGCTCGCAGCCCGTCCGAGCGCCCGGCGGCGGCCGGAAGGAGCGTCTCGCCGTGTTCGCACAGGGGTGGGTTTCCCTTACTGCATCTGCGGACGGCGGGCGCGGCCCAAGGTCAGCCGGGGCCGAGCGCGCGGCCC